TCGCCTTTCTCTCCGCTACGCCGGGCTCAGCACCGCAGATGTCCGTCCTGCATTCAGTAACTGTCCTCAGCAGGTGGCGTTTTTCTCCCTGAACTACTTGAAAGGTGGAAACCAAGTGGCAGTTGCAGCTAAATGGTTGCAGTGTACTTACACCTTGCTTCCGCCCTCCGCCCCCAGGACTTCAAGCTGAAATGCCCTGTGCTCACCAAAGCTGGTTTTCTTCCCCTTCTACCTCTCCCCATCACCCCTCCCATTTCCCTTCTTACAAACTCAGTATTGGGATGGAGCGTCTAGCTAGGTACTTTCTATTTTACACATCACAGCAGAAAGAAATGGTTGCAGTGTACTTACACCTTGCTTCCGCCCTCCGCCCCCAGGACTTCAAGCTGAAATGCCCTGTGCTCACCAAAGCTGGTTTTCTTCCCCTTCTACCTCTCCCCATCACCCCTCCCATTTCCCTTCTTACAAACTCAGTATTGGGATGGAGCGTCTAGCTAGGTACTTTCTATTTTACACATCACAGCAGAAAGATTTCTACAGCCCCAAATGCCTGCGCAGTTGCATTGACTACAGTATAATTGATGGGAATTTAATAAACACTTATGTTGATGCACAATTAGTAGTGGAGGCCACCCTCCTATAGCTGTTCTGACAGAAATGAAGTATAAATTAGTTGTGCTCTCTTGACTCAACGTCTAGATCTTTATACAGATCAGTAAGAATCATTTTTATGTAGTCACTTCTTAGACTAGGATCATATTTTAAATAGATAAGCAGGGCTCACAGATAATGCAGTCTACTCACCTGTGGTGAGTAGATTGCAACCTGGAAGAGCTGGGTTCAGGTGATCTACACATGTGCAGAACGATCTGCGCATGTGCAGCTCATCGGATAGCGCGGTTTGGCGAGCCCTGTAGATAAGAATGGCCATACTGGGTTAGACCAAAGGCCTATCTAGCCCAGTATTCTGTATGCTGAAAGTGGCCAATACCAGGTCCTCAGAGGGCATCACAACAGGTAATCCTTATGTAATTCCTCCCCATCACCTGCCTCTAGAACAGTGGTCCCCAACGTGGTGCTCGCAGGTGCCATGGTGCCCGGCGGGGCATTTATGTGCACCCGCCTAGTGACCAGGGCTGGCCAAGCCGTTCCTACACCCTGGGCACCTGGCGCATGCGCGGTGCCCCCCCCGGGCACGCGGTGCATGTGCAGCCCCGCCCCCGGGTGCCCGGCAGCCCCAAAAGGTTGGGCACCACTGCTCCAGAGAAACAGAGGCTAGGGATACCATTCCTACCCATCCTGGCTAATAGCCATTGATAGACCGAACCTCCATGAATCTATCTTGCTCTTTTTTGAATCCTATTGAAGTTCTAGCATTCACCACATGCTCTGGAAAGGAGTTACACTACTTGACTGTGCTTAACTACAGTTGCTATGTAACTGTGGTTGCTAGGTGTCCAGTTTTCAACTGAACACTTTGTCATAAAGGGACCCTCCCAGCCTGGTAAAAGTGAGCGAGCAAGTGAATGAGGGTCCACGAGAGTGATCTGAGGAAGAGGGTGGGTGGAGTGAGTGGCCTGGAGCTTCAGAGAAGGGATGGGTCAAGGGAGGTTTTGTTTGGTCATAAAGTTGGCAACCTTAAAACGCAGCAGGTAAAACATGCTTTATTATTCCAGAAAAATTCTTCAAACTGTAAACTAGGGGGTCTCAAACTCATGGGCTAAGGGCCACCTACAGGCCAAGCAGTTCTACAATCTAGCCTACGTGCAGCACTGATATGAGAGTCTGAAGGGGGAGTCTGTATCCTTCCCCTAAGCCCTGCCTCTGGTCTGCCTCTTGTTTGCTCCTCTTCTCCTCCTCCTTCTTGGAGGGACAAAGCCACGGATGTGCCAGCATGGAACTAGCAGCCAGAAGCCTCTGTAGTCCTACTGTGCTCCAAATGGTGGTAATGAGGGGCACCCTAAGGATGTTTTAATTGCTCAGCAGTGGCAGATGGAACATGATGGTGGGTAGGAGCATGTGGAGCGGAAGGCGAGGCAGGAGATGCATGTTACTGTCAAAGGAACAGTGTGGTGGGGGAAATCTGCAAATGCTGATACAGAGTTAGCAGCGGGGAAGAGGGAGCAGTCGGCTCAGTGGGAGCTGGCATGCGAGGACTCCACATGTGTACAAGCTCCCGCCTGCCCAACCACCCTGCTGCTACCTTTGTGAGAGGCGTTCCTCTCCCCAACCCTCCCCTGCTTCTGATATAGAGGGGGCTGCATGTAACCGAGAGGGTTAACTGATGAGCCCAGGCTCATCGGTTAACTGTGTACTTGAGTTCACATTAACTTCTGTAGCCTGCATGTTACAGGGGTATCTTAATATGCTATGTTCTCTCACTCTTTAGGTTGGCTTACATACACTACAAAATGATCCTCTCGTGTTAATAGTGTCTATCAGGTTCTTTTCCGAGTATTGTTGAAGTTACTCCTCACAGTGGCTACGTCTACACTAGCATGATTTTCCGGAAATGCTTTTAACAGAAAAGTTTTCCGTTAAAAGCATTTTCGGAAAAGCGCGTCTAGATTGGCAGGATGCTTTTCCGCAAAAGCACTTTTTGTGGAAAAGCGCCTGTGGCCAATCTAGGCGTGCTTTTCCGCAAAAAAGCCTCCATCGCCATTTCGCGATCAGGGCTTTTTTGCGGAAAACAAATCTCTGCTGTCTACAGTGGCCCTTTTGCGCAAAAGTTTTTTGGAAAAAGACTTTTGCCCCAACTGGAGCAGCATAGTATTTCCACAAAAGCACTGACAATCTTACATAAGATCGTCAGTGCTTTTGCGGAAATTCAAGTGGCCAGTGTAGACAGCTGGCAAGTTTTTCTGCAAAAGCAAATGATTTTGCGGAAAAACTTGCCAGTCTAGACCCAGCCAGTCTGTTTTTGTGTTAACTCAGTATTACACACTCAGTTTCCTCATTGGTAAAATGAGACACAATTAAGATGATTGGAATCAGTGGTTGAGCTGACATTACTTGTTCAGAGAGATTAGTGTAAGGCTTTATTTACAGTACACTGATGTTTACCCTGTTTACTGTAGGGATGCAAGAAGTTAACCAGTTAACTGATATGCTGATGCTTTTGGTTACTGTTAGCAGTAAAACTCTCCCTGGGTCAGGGGTGGCAACCCCGCAGTTAACTGTGTAACCAATAGAATTTAGATCAGTTACATGGTTAATATTTTTACATTCTTTTTACATTCTTAGTTCACAGCCTGTGGTAGCCAATTAGTAGTACCATAGGACCAGTATAGCTAAAACCCTAATATGGACAGAAGGAGCTTCTGTTCGTACTGGAATTTACCAGTGTTTGAAACTGAGAAAAGTTGCAACAGTTACAAATTACACCCTGCTTATCTAAGGGGTGTGCACAAGTGGACCTATGTATGGCTGTAGATGGCAATAATTGGTGCAAATTCTCAATATTCATAAATTCTTAATCCTTACTTGTTTAGACTCTTAGACCAGATTAGCAGGGGTTTGAGTGCCTCTTCACAACATTGAAGATATTTCTTGAAGAGGAACATTTTGCTCTATGGGGCATGCTTTCTAGTCAGTAGTAAACTCCTAGTTCAGCTAACCTAATTTTAAAACTATTTAATGCTGGAATGGAGATTTGTGTTTTGATGACTCCAGGCAGCCTGACCTGTTTTTACTGA